CACCTTAATGGTCAACTGAGGCTTGTGAAATGCGTTATTCTCATTATTTTAAACTAGACAGAGCGGAAACTATAATCACGTTTGATTTATTCAAATATCTATTGCGAACGTTTTTAATTTCTTCATCGTTGTGCTGCAGATATTTCCAGCCGGGAAAATTAATTGCAGACAAAATGATCAGCTACACTGTATGTTTTCTTTTCTAACACAACGGGATCTCCTTCTGGTCTGAGGACTCCTTCAAAAATCAATATTCCTTCCAAATAGAATTAATAAAAAAAGCGTGTCAAGACTGCTTTAGAAAAAAAATCTTGATGCCTCTGGCCTCGATTTATTGGCCAAGAACATTGTAAATCTTCTGGAGACACAAGCAGGCGGGCAGCGCGTAAGAACCGCTCCACGTGGCGCTGAATGAATCCTCACGTGCATCAGCACTTTTTTTTTGTAATATTTTTTTCGTGCGCGTCCTTCTATCCGCAGCTGAAGGGCCCGCGCGTTGGAGGACACGAGGACACAATGAACCGGAGCCCGTCAAGGCTGCAAGCGCGCGGAGTGTGAGGGGCGGGGGGGGGGGGGGGGGCTCCATCCCTCCCTCCCTCCCTCTCGCCTCGCTCGGTCCTGCCTTTCACACCCCTTTGTGCCGCGGCAGCGGCGGGCGGCTCGCTGCGTCCTTATGTTCCTCTGCTGCTCACAGTGCGTGTGTGCGTGTGTGTGTGTGTGTGTGTGTGTGTGTGCGAAGTAGTGCGTCTGCATGCGAATTTGTAATTATAGTAACCCATACGCCCCCCACGCCCCCCCCTCCAATCACACATATTCGCCCAGACACAAGCTCGCTGTTTATTGTCAGGTCGGTTCTGTTCGTCAGATCGAATCATCAGATCTGCTCGTGGAAGTCGTGTCGGCTCTTATAGCTCCTCTTGGTGACCCGACCCCCCCCCCCCCCCCCAAAAAACCCAAACAAACCCACGTGCAGCAGCGAATGGAGGCGGTGTTTTGTTGGTGTGTAGCCTGTTAGCTGCTGGCGGGGGGGTGAGAGGAGGAATGTATTTAGTGTTACATCGGAATGAAGTGAGCCATCGATCCCCGTTTAAGGTGCCGTTGGAACGGAATGGATTTAATGGAACTGGAGCTGTTGGGGGGTAAAACAGAAGGTTTGTGTTGTGAACACGTGGAGCGGATGAGTCCTTCTATAAACTCTTTTTATGTGGTAACAAGTCAAGAAACACAGTGACAGGGAATGAAATGTCAAATCAATAAGCAAAGCTCAGTCACAAGTCGACTGACATTTTGTTAATTGATTGACAGTTCTTTGCACTGCTGTCCGGTCTGGAAGTCGTTTTCACTTCATGAAAGTTGGTCGTAACATTTAGTCTGCGTGACGTTTTTTGGGGAATTCGTTCTCTCTTTGGTCACTTCTGGTTCCAAATGAGAAGAAGGCGGCGTCGCCCGAGAGGCTTCAAAGCGTCTCAAACATCCAAAAACCGGTTGGTGACATCACGGTGACAAGTCCTCTTTGTAGAGTTCATCTTTAAAGTATCAGTCTGCCAGCAGACATTAGACCACGGGTCATTGTGCTAAGCTAAGCTAAAGGCCTCTTACAGGCATACGGGAGATTCAAAGCAAATCTTCTAACCAGCAGGAAATCAAAGATGTGCGTTTCCATTGGTCCATCATGGTTCCTGCTTCAATCCCAACCCGAGGACGGATTCCATGATGGAAACAAATCCACCCAAATCATAACAAACGAGAAAGAAGCACTGAGGTATCTGCATGTCGTCCCATGATCCGTTCAGCCATTCAATACAAATCAGCTTTTTAATAGTAAATGATCATATATTTAAAACCTGAAGGGATTCATCCACATTCCAGTTTGTATACCTCAACAACTCTGATAGAGAACGCAAAGAACTCTGTGAAGAAATTATTTACTTTTTTCTAATACGGTTGGTTAAAGGAGGTTTTGCATCGTGATTTAAACTCATCAACCAAGTGAGTTGATCCTATATTTGCTAAACAACAACAACAACAGCGACTCCGTCTGAAACCAAAACGGCAAACTTTCATCTGAATATTAAACAATTTGACGTTTAATCGTCACACCATCGGTGAGTAAATGCCTTCAGGTGGTTTGAAGGAATCGGGACTCACGGACGTTTATGGGACTTGTGCATAACATCAGACAATGAGACAATGAGACAATGGACAACAAGACAAAATTACATGTTCACTTTACAAATTTAAATCCACCGTATAAAATCAATTTATCAAACAAAACGTTTCATTGCTCAGAAACAAACATGGAGCAGGAATTACGCCCCAACCCTAAAACCAGGGAGCATGCTGGGATTTCTGCATAACCGCACATTACTACTGGCAAATGACTTACTAGCAGAATGAATTCAGAAAAACAATATTCAGTATTTTCGTAAATAACCAATGAGAATGAGGCCCGAATGTGATTACAGGAGACATCGAACATCAGGCGGTTTATGCAGAAGCCTGAGAGGCGTAAACATGTCACTCAGTGTTAGAGGTGATTCCAGAGTCTTTGTACAAATCCAAGTGTGTGCAAGAGATTTCCTTTGGAAGCCGTGAATCTGGGCTCTTTGCTGTCATTAATATGCCAGTTTTGTGAGAAACTTGAATAATCTAAAGACGACAAAAAACATCCGTCGTGAATGGAGCTCTGCTCCTGCGTTGGGCGACGAGATTAACTCACGGCCCCCAGAAGGACGGACCCTCCGTACCTTTACCGGCGCGGCGTGGAAACACGAGGAGCAGCGGTTCTGTTTACAAGGGTTCGATTATTCCACCGACTGCCACTTAATCGGGATCGTTCTTTGAAATATTGGCTTTGGGGCGATTAATGGAGTGGAAATGTGCTGCTGCTTCCACGTCTTACTTCTCTGTGTGCGTCGCGTCCAGGGGACGCCGCCGCAAAGGAGCAGCAGCGTCATTTGGCTTTAGGAACCCGGAACAGTTTCACGATGATTCATGGAGCAAAAGATTCGTCACAAAAAAAAAAAACACGGTGGGATTATTATCCGATAATGAAAACAATCCGTCAGACTGCATGCTGGGAATAATGGAGCGACGAGGGAAAGGTGGAGGAGCGAGGGAGGGGTTGCTGGGAAAACCTCATTGTGGGGTTCCTCATCCGGATCCGGGAAGTTTCTCGGGTGGGGGAAGGGGGGGTGAGATGGATGCAGTGTGTGTGGAGTTGTTTATACACCCCGATGAGGCCGCCTGAGAACGCTTGGTTGGAAATTGGAACGTGATCAATTTCACCACTTAGAGTGTGTGTGTGTGTGTGTGTGTGTGTGGGGGGGGGGGGGGGGTACACACACTGTGGGGGTGACACAAACATATTCACAGTCTGACTCCCGTGCTTTCTCCCCCCCCCCCCCCCCCCAGAATACCAGGGTGACTACTACGGACCGGGGAGCAACTACGACTTCTTCCCGCACGGCCCCCCCTCCTCGCAGGCTCAGTCCCCCGCCGAGTCCCCTTACATCCTGGGCTCCGGCCCCGCCGGGGCCATGGAGGGCTCGGGCCACCACCCGTCAGACGACCAAAGGTTCACGGACATGATCTCCCACGCGGAAACCCCCAGCCCGGAGCCGGGCCTGCCGGGCTCCCTGCAGCCCGTCCCCGGGGAGGTTTACGGGGGGGGGCCCAGTCCTCCCTTCTCGCTGGCGAGTAACTCCAGCTACAGCGCTCCGATGTCCCACCAAGGCCCGGAGATGGGGGAGACCACGGCCTGGTGAGGGGAGGCGTGCCACCGGGGGACCAGGGGGGGGGGATGAATGAACCCTTCATTCAGGAGACGAGTCGAGAACACGCGCACGCACACACGCACACACGTGGCGGAGTGAAACGCCGCAGATGACGTTTTCATGGAGGACTTCAGAAGAAAAAAGAATCCGGGAGTGATTCTCCGGCGGATGGACGGGCCGCTGAGGAGAACCCGATCAGGATCACCGGACCGGAGTCTCCTCTGGTCACCTCCATCTCTCACAGCTTTCCTTTGTCGTGTGTTTGCGTTGTTCTGTTGTTGCCGCTCGGCCCTCAATGCGAATATTAAGACAAAGGAGCGGGTTTTAACGTTCACGTCCACCGTGGTCCATCAGGACACGTTACTCTCCTCTGTAAGACAATGAGGCAAACGCACACACACACACACACACACATCTCAGCTTTAAGTCCCTTAATGCACAAGAAGCGTTCCTTATCAGAGCTCAAAAGAAGGATGTCTATACCATTATTCAAAACACGGACACAATTACAGTCACTTGTACTCACTCAAGCACGCACCCACACACACACACACGCACACACACGCACACACACACACCACACACACACACACACACGCACACACACACACACACACGCACACAGAGGCACAGCCCTCACACCCCTCCAGCCGGCCCTGATAGTTCTGCTCTGCAGACTGCTTCACCTGACCTTCCCTTTGTTACTGTCCCTTTTAGAAAAAAAAACATGTTTTAATGGAAATGATTTTGAAAAGAACATTGAACCCATAATGGAGAATCTACTTCAACAGCTGAGGTCTCCTTCCTCTAAAGGGAGACAACAAAAGAGGGGGCAGACAACATCTGTGGCGTCACAAGCACTCGTCGCCATCTAGTGGCCTTAAGACACACCGAACTAAAGGAGAAAGACAGAATGTGGCTCAACGCGTCCGGTGTGCGTGTGTGTGCGTGTGTGTGTGTGTGTGTGTGTGTGAACATCTTTCTGCTGCACAGGACAAACTCTTTATTGTTTTTTTTCCCCTCTGGTCCGGACGTCCACCGTCCTGAACAGAACAACAACCACCTACTTGAAATATTCTTCTGCGTTTCCTCTGGACGTTGTGTTGGATCCGGAGAGAACATGTCTTCTTTCTGATGTATTGGCACACTGATACAAAAGTGAGCGTGTGTGTGTGCGGGTGTGCGTGTGCATTAAAGGGGGGGGGAGTAAGGCTGTATTATTTCTATGTAAATAGCACTGGTAATAAAAACCTTCTGTTACAACTTGCAGAACTGGCTTTCTTCTTGAGCAGCATCACGCGACGTTCTTCTACTTCCTTTAGTCTGTTTAAAGGAAGAAAAAAGCTGTTTGTCTTCTTCTGCAACGTTTGTGGAACCTGTGCTTTTATTTCACGACGTGACTAAATCACGGGATCAATCTGATTCTCTTTTTTTTGAACACTTCTTCACTTATTGTGGCTCGATAGAATAATTATAAACTATTCATTTATCTTGTACAACTACTCTTCTGTTTGCAGACTGTTTAGCACATTGGTCTCCATCCAACATCCATTAACAAGCTCTTATTTCACAGATGCTGTAAATCTGCATTGGGTTGTTATTCAGCAGCATCACCAGCTGACGTGTTATTGGTTTACACGGTTGATGTGTGTGTGTTTCACTGCCAGCGGACGCTGGAGCGACATCGTGATATCGCTGCGTGCTAAAACACTTCTGGTTACGGGTCCTTCTGCAAAGCCGTCTCCGTGGAGCCGGGATTCTCCACCGGTCTCCATGGCAACAGCACGAGAGCAGCAGGTTGGAAACGTCTAACAAACGGTGGAAACGTCTCCTTACTCCAGCTGCCACACTGCAGAAGAAGAAGAAGAAGGAGAAGAAGGGATGTGGCTGCAGGGACTCGGCTCGGTGCAGGTCGACCCGCTGGGCTGCAGCGCCACCTTTTAGGATGGAGAAGTTTATTTTGGATCCATCGGCACCTTCACAATGGAAGGAGGAGAATCACTGTTGTATTATGAGACCACAGGCCCCTCACAGAATAGTAGTTCAGAGTGTATTCTGCAGTGATTCTGTGTCTCTTTGTGGTTATTTTGTGTCTCTCTGCGGCTGTTGGCCCTTTATTATTTGTTTAGCGTTGATGTCGGTTGCAGGTGAAGGCCCCCTGGCGCTTTGGGCCCCTGACACAGAACCACCTTTGCTTCTAATGAGAAATGAAATGAACCAGAGTGCTTGGTGGGGACGTGGAAACACTCCTGAGACAAGAAACGTATTTGTGAGTCGCCTCATCCAGTCATTTCATCCGCTGTTGATCTAAATAGTGTAAATAACGTGGAATACAGCAGCTTTAAGTTGTTGTTTAGATCTTGCATCGTTCTCCTTAGGAAGTGGAATCAGAGGCTCCTTCTGAAGCCTGCAGGCCAAGACCCTGACTTCAGACAAGCCCCCCCACCCCTCCTCACCCCTCCTCACCCCTCCCCTCCCCTCCTCTCGCTGTGGGGCCAGGTGGGCCGATGGTGGCGCAGGTCTGCAGTAATTTTCTCCCTGACTGGTTTTAATGTAAAGGGTAATGTGAGAGGAGACCAGCGGACACACACACACACACACACACACACACACACACACACACACAGAGGAGAGTGTGTTCCACCAGTCCACCAAGAAGCTCTACGTCCGTTTATTCCTCTTCTACGTCCGTTTACTCCGCTTTATTTCCTTTAATTCCAGGTTTTTATTTTTTTGTCTTCCTATGGCTGCGTTCCTCGACACGCACACACGCACACACACACACACACACACACACACACACACACGCACACACACACACGCACACACATTTCACATCAAAACTTGTGCTGGGACTTGAGCACCATTAAACCTTCACAAAATCACCCTCAGTAACCTTCACCTTCTTTTAACCTGGCAAGCATCTGGTTATCACTCAGACCCACACACACACACACACACACACACACACACACACACACACACACAACAATTCCATTAACATCAGTACTTTTGTAATGGATGTGTTTGCGGTGCTGCTGTGGGAGAAAGGAGAGACCTGAGTAGCTGTTATAAATCACTCTCTTGTTCCCCTCCCCCTTATCACGCGCTCTCTCTCGCTCACACACACACACACACGCGCGCGCGCACGCACGCACGCACACACCTCTATTGGCATCGCTGCATGGGGCTCCCATTCAGTGACTCTGCAAACACACGAACACGTGCAGAGACGTCCCCCCCGAGTCCTATTGCCCCACGAGGAGGAGGAACACGTCATTAATTACACTCGCACACTCCGCTGCACGCACACAAACATATCGTGCGTGCCAGCCGGCCTCCGTCCGCGACGCACAACCTCGCCGCAGCGCGCCCGCGCCTTCTGTCGACAGGTGACACCCGAGCTGATAGCGGACACGCGCGCGGCTCTGCCACAGCGGGGAAGGAGGGAACGTGTCAACGGCGAAGTTACGATCGCCGAGAGAGATTTCAGGCAACACGGAGGAGAAGAAGATCAGACTGTCAGATTTGTCCGCGGCCTCAGCGGCCTCCTCGAGCCGCGCGGATGGATGGGCGCAGGTGGGCACCTCGAGGCTGTCCGAGCAGGAAGAGAACAACCGCGGGGACACAAATGTGTTCGCGGCTTTTAACGATCCCGAAGCTCGGAGTCGCGGGGGGGGAATTGGACTCGGTCGTTTTGTGTTCTTTGTGTCAAAGAAAAGAAGGAGGACGAACAGCTACAGAAGAGCCTGTTAGTAAAACACGTGCAGGTGACCCCGCACACCTGCGGGCGCGCGCACGCGTGCATGCAGACGAGTCACACACTGCTATTAAAACATCATCAGGATGAAGAAAGATTGTGACTCAGATGTGATTCCACAAATGAAGGTTTCCTCTAAAGGTCCCATGTTGTATTATTACCTATCAACATTTTTTTATTTTATAAGTTGTTCTTCCAATTAAATTTCCTCATTTGATTTGAAATAATTCAAGATAGATAAGATATGTTTACATATTTCATTATACACAGAAAATGCGGTACAACTACCTTTTCACCTGCCTTTATTTTAAATTATGATGAGGAAATAGAATCTAGTGAAGTGGTAGCATCTATCCCAGTCATATATATATATATATATATATATATATATATACATATATATATATAATTTACACATAAAAAAATGTGAACGTGAAACCAGAGAACGTGACAGTTTTGTCTGAAATGAGACCAAGGAGGAAGCCGAGTTGAGGCCTCCCACTGACGCGCAGCCACAGCGCCACCAAGTGGATTCATGACGTCACTGCACGGACTGTGACCTCACGCGCAGAATGTCATGAAGAGGTCATCGGAGTAAAGAGACGACAACTTTATTCAGCGACACCCGGAATTCAAGTACATGTGAAGTGTTTTTTGTTCAGTGCAGACAAAGGACTCACAAAGAACTATGTTTAGTGCCAAGGGCGGCAAGAAGAAATAAAAGAAACAGGAAAAACAAGCTTTTGTTCGCGGACTCCAGAGAGCGATGGGACCAAAACACCATTCACAGGCTCATTTGAAACAGCATCGCAAATACAATGATGTGTTTTCTTTTTCTAGAAAAGAATCTTTGCTTTTCTTTTGGCAGGATTTCTATAGACGAGATTAGAAGTCTTCACACAAACACGAGGCCAGCGTGTCTGCAGATGCTGGAGGGAAGTTTCAGAATTCGCGTTTTACTTCTTTTTTTGTGGATTTGTTTTGCTGAAGCAGGAACCAATGATGCTTGATTCACCGTGCAGGTGGGATCCATATCCGTACAAACGTGGAGTCAGTGGTGTACTTTGGGCTCTGGGTCCATCCTCTCCCTGTGCGCGGTTTCCTGTCTACCTCCATCACTTCAAAATAAAAGCAGAAATTTCCCCCGAAATAATCTATAATATAAATCAAGAGTAGTTCAGAAGGAAATGCTACTAATAAACAATAACAATGTGTGTTGAAAAAACTGTTTTGTCTGTGTCAATATTACTGATAAGACGAGTCTGTGTCCTCTCAACAGAGACAACTTGTGTTCTGGGTCAACTGGTGCTTGTGCATCAATGTCCTCTCATGGTATTATATATATATAGAGTATTATATATACATTTAGTATTATAATACACATATATTATAATATTAATACTAATATATATATATATATTATAAAGAAGCAAACAGTAAAAGAAGGGTACCTCAACATGTTATTATGCTTCTCCCCTGCATTCCTTCTCTGCCCTCTAAAGTGTAACAGGATGAGCTATAAATACACGATGACATCATCCAGTGGAATGTGGACCTCAGAACTCTCAGAATCTCATCTACCAGATTCCCTTAAAGCTCCCCAACCTGTCCCACCTTCACCACCTGTCCCCCACTTTCACCCACCTGTCCCCCACCTTCACCCACCTGTCCCCCACCTTCACCCACCTGTCCCCCACCTGTCCCCCACTTTCACCTACCTGTCCCCCACCTTCACCCACCTGTCCCCCACCTTCACCACCTGTGTCCCACCTTCACCACCTGTCCCCACCTTCACCACCTGTCCCCCACCTTCACCACCTGTCCCCCACCTGTCCCCTACCTTCACCCACCTGTCCCCCACCTTCACCCACCTGTCCCCTACCTTCACCCACCTGTCCCACCTGTCCCCCACCTTCACCCACCTGTCCCACCTGTCCCCCACCTTCGCCCACCTGTCCCCCACCTTCACCCACCTGTCCCCCACCTTCGCCCACCTTCACCACCTGTCCCCTATCTTCACCCACCTGTCCTCCACCTTCACCCACCTGTCCCCCACCTTCGCCCACCTGTCCCCTACCTTCACCCACCTGTCCCCCCACCTTCACCCACCTGTCCCCCACCTTCGCCCACCTGTACCACCTGTCCCCCACCTTCACCCACCTGTCCCCCACCTGTCCCCCACCTTCACCCACCTGTCCCCCACCTTCACCCACCTGTCCCCTACCTTCACCCACCTGTCCCACCTGTCCCCCACCTTCACCACCTGTCCCCCACTTTCACCCACCTGTCCCAAGGCGAAGTCTCATGACTGACCCGTCGTATTCATTACAAGAACTATGTGGCCACAGACTTCTCCCCCACACAAAGTGAAATGAGGTGTGTAACGTCCTCACTCCGTTGCACCAAAACCCGCCAGCTGTTTCCTCTCACTGTATGTTAAAAAACCCGACTGAGCAACAAGTCAGTGAGCTTTTCCTTCGAAAAGGGTCTTGTGAATATGGTTACCGGGTTACAGAAAATAAGAGGTTTTGTCATTTGACACTTTGATATGATACTTTGTTATCCTAATATTTACATAGTGTAACTGTTTTTACTGACTTCCTGTTTCCCTCTAGTCTCTGTTGTTTACTTTGTCTGGGATTATTTTAGTATTTGTCAAAAGCTACATATTAAAGCTGTGACTGCCTGTTGTTTATTTTCTTACTAAATTCATTTCAAGCCAACGTTGGTATTCTTGTTTTATTATTTGATGAGGCAACACGGTTTCTATTTGATATGTTGATGGAAGAAACCCACAGGCGAGTGTTTCCACATCCCAAAGGGAGAGACGTTCACGTTGTTGTCTAAGCAGCTTATCTCAGGTCTCCTGCTACCCGGTCTGTTACTATGACAGTGTGCAAAGTTCTACTCTCGAGCTGCACACAAGTCGGACAGGAAATCTTTTTTTTGCTTTCTGTCACGATGAGAAACCGCAACTCACAATAATCGGTTACAATAATGACACATGTTGGCGCAATTATAACGAGAATCTTCACTTAAATGACTTTGTTTTGCAAATTGCTCCATGTAATTCTTATACCACTGAGGGTGATGTTTGCTTCTATTTTAAAGCTAATATCTTCAACTTCAAATAATAAGTATTTCTTTATAGAGTTAGTTGGTTAGAACGTTTGCTCTTGACGTAAAGAATTTATTCACACAGATATTTTGGTGCCACTGACACAGTTAAAGTTTGCAGCACAACACAAATACTTTTCTGCACATAATATTTCTGAACAAATTCAACTTCCAAGTCCAACAGTATTCTCTCCCGTCGTGTCACACTTTAGGGACTAATGGAAGTTGGCCAAAACGGCCTAAAATAGTTTTTAGCAAAACCTTCGTCCACGTCGGGTGAAACTAACAGGAAAGTTCCTTTTAGTTTCTTTAAGTGCAATAACAATAACTCTCACCACCTTGTGAAGACGTGAAGATAAATGTGGACCAAATGACTACAAAGTGTGGAGATATTTTTGTATTATTTATTGATTTGACCGGAAAACATCTCAACCAGATACGAAGGGCTCCAGCAGCAGAGATGTGTGCCATCGGTGGTGTAATCTGACACTTCTGCAGAGACGGTTGGGTGTGGTGCAAAATGTTGGCACTGCATTCTTGTTGGACGTTAAAATATCTTTTGAAAATGCTCATTATTATGGCCATTGAAACTGGCTGGAGGCCGACTGAGTGTCAGAGAGAAGGACACTTTGCTGACCACAATACTTTCATTATTGATGTACGCTTAGAAAGACAAGCGCACTTTGGCTTTATAGCAGGACAGGGGTATTTTTGTTGAACTTCCAACACACCCTGAAAACAAGGTCAGAGGAAGAGGCGTCTTTTATGTCTCTGGTGAATCACCTGTCAATCACAATAGCCCCGCCGCCTAGCTATAGGGCTCTACATGAACCATCATTTACTGAATTAACATCGTGCTGTATTAAAGAAGACTTGAAACAAGAGACTGAGACGATAAACTCGTGTTTACAATGTTTACTGAGGGAATAAATGAAGAGAGTAGGGTCATTTCCTCATAGACGTCTATGGGAGCAGAGGAGTCGCCAAAAGGAATAAATCATCAGAATTGTTTCTGATTAATCAACATTGATGAATGAACTGACCTCTGCAGTCCACTGGTTAACCCTCCCGACAGGCTACCGACTGGAACAACCTTCGTTTCTCCTCAAGCTTCTCCTCCAGGCACTGGACCACAACAGGGTCCACCTGGAGGTCAAACTTATTGGCGAACCAGTGACCATAGTTGAGCAACCAACGCAGCTCCGCTGCCCCGTAGATACAAACGCTGCGGACGTGTTTCCCCGAGCAGGGTGGGTACAGGCTCCCCTCCAGGTACTCCCACTTCACCAGCCTGGTCCTGCTCTGCAGGTCCGTGATGTCGGGCTCCGTCCTGGCCACCTCTCCGGGGACGCCCGGCAGGCGCGCCAGCGTGGCCCAGAAGTGTTCGTCCGGGCTGAAGGTGTCCTCCGACCAGGCCAGGAAGTCCTTCACCGCGGCCGAGGAATCCAAGTGCGCGACAAAGTCCCGGGACAGGATGAAGTAGGCGTTGCCGGAGAACACCTCGATGCCGTGCGGCGGCGGGATCTTCCTCTGGTCCGTCTTCACCGGCATCTTTTTGTATTCGAAGTTGGCGTCCCTCAGCTCGTGGTGAAGGATGAACCTTTGCATCTTCAAAGTGGTGGGGCGGCTTGTCTCCAGCATGTTGGCCCCGTTCAACCCCCTCAGCTCCGACACCAGCTCGATGTTGGACCTGAGGGGGAAATCTTGGCCACAGAGGTTGATGACGTACTTCCACTTGACCTCTGACGCCAGAAGGTCGGACAGACAGTTGAGATCAGCTTTCAGTCGACTGATGCCTCCGTAAAAGATGGACTCTCGCTTGGAGGCGATGAAGACGTTGGGCAAACAGCGGGCCAGACCCTCCATGGCTGAGATGAACAGCGGCGGAGACTTTTGATCGTAGTGGATACAGTAGATGTTTCTGGGGGTGTACACGGCTTTGATGAGTCTCTCTACCATCACTGCAGATTTGTGCACGACCAGAGAGTAAGCGAGAGGAAAGTCTCTCTCCCCCTCTGAGACGCACACGTCATCGTAACCTCTGGACTTGATAAATAATGAGCAGTTAGAGGTGAGGTTAACCAGAGTTTCCTCCTGGTTCTCCACGACATGTTTCCGCCTGATGACCATCGACTTGCCCACCTCCGCTGGGTCCAAGTCGTAGATAGCCTGGCAGTTAATGTTGTACTTCTGATATATCGGATGGCTTTCTGGGGACGCTGAGGGAGGGAAGTACTCTGTGACGTTGCTGTACTTCACGCTGAGCATCAGCAGGACGCCCGAGGAGGACAGGAGGAAGAGGCAACAAATGACGCATCTTAGTTTCATTCTGTGGGGAGAGGAACCAGGCGTCGCTTTTTTATCGACATAAAACGAGAAACTCACAGGAAAAGCAGAACTTTGGGATGTGACTGAAGCATAAATAAACATTTGATGAAAGCACGTCCTTGTTTCGTTGCTGGTCCGAGTTTGTTCCCCTGTGCGGCTGAATGCACTTATTGTAATAACGCTGCGTTCACACCACAAGCGAGGCGAATTATTCGCGCAAGTAGATTCCATATAAAGTCAATGACGCGAAAAAGCGAAACGAGCGAAGCGAATAAATCGCTTTTTGCGCTGTCTCGCGAAAGCCAATCAGCGTTGAGATGCCGCGCTGGAGAATACACGTTATTAAACTGCCACACACACACACACACACACACAGCTGAGACTGAACGCCCGTGCGTTAGTTTGTGTGACGCACCGATCCGACACAACAGGTCATCAGACCGGCTGCTGGTCCGCCTGAAGCCGCGCTGGAGGCCGCGGTCACCCGGCCGGAGGAGTCGGTGAAACTCGAGCTGCGTGCGGCGACGGATGATGTCACGAACCCGAACGCAACACCGATCGCGGTTCGTTTCGTTCTTGTGCGCTGTTCTCCGTCTTCGTACTTCGCACAACAAATAAAGCGCATAACTAGTGGTTATTCGTTGCCGGGGCGGATAGCGGATCACTTCACGGGGGCAAGTAACGGAGATAAGCCACGCCCCCTCCCAGCCGTCGCTTTCGGTGTGAACGCAACATTAGTGGCTTTGGATGAAAGCGTCAGCTCAGTTTCATGTGATGTAGTGTAATAAAGATTAAGAATACGCGCTCACCTTTGCCGCATGCGCAGGAATCGATCTGCAAAACGCGCAGCCCTAAAAGTTGGAAGACTGTCAAAACGAGGAGGAATTCACTGGGTTATGTTCAACAAAGCTATTTAATAATACATATTATCCTAGAACTTACCGATTTCTGGAGAAATGTATGCGGTAACATAACATGTATCTTTCCTCTTCTTACACGCGACTCGGGCGACATGTGATGGAGGGACCAGCTTTCGTCGAGCTGCAGACCGAAATTTAATTTTCTTCCGATTAAACCATTAAAAAAAAGTAAAGAAGAACAAAGAAACAAGCTGATCGTCCGCCTGCGTTCACTTTCTTGTGCGGGAGGACACATAACCGGAAAACGAGAGAGGGAGGAGCTCACAGGGAACGTTATACTGAATTAATTATAGACACGATCCACAGATACATTGTTGTTTGACGTTGTGATGATTAAGTAAGAGGTCACACAACGTATAATTGAACGGGCGCAGTTGTGCGTAAACGACCGATCTAATAATCCAAGAAAAGAGGGAGAACTGGTAAAAGGATGAAACAAACATGAAACTGGAACTAAACTCCACTCGAAAGGGGAGTGGAGACTTCTGTAAACCCGCAAAACCTCATTCAAACCTGCTGTTCCGATCAAGCGGAAACGTCTTCACAAGAAGTGTCTGTGTGTCTGTGTGTCACTCCATGTGGTGGAGTGAGCCATTGTTTTCTACGTCACATGTGTATTTAAAATGCATCTATCCACATCTTCGTCTTTAAGTAACATCGACTCGAATCACACTGGAGGCACGATGGCGACCTGACGAGCTGCTGCAGCTCATAACGACCTTAGATGCACAAGTGGGTCAAAAATGACCCGATGAGGTTGTTTTCTTGAAATATCTTCGTAATGAAAAATTGTTATCATTTCATATTCCAGGTATTCCTCAAAAAACATGTTTTTGATATAATTCCATTTACATTTTTAACTTACCTGTTATACATTTTAAGAAATTGTAGTTTTTGTATTACTACCCCAAGCTTCCATAATTGGGTCAAAAATGACCCGCATGCATTTTCTATGGAATCCAATGGGAACCTTTGATTCTTATCAACTGTGGCTGTCAGGAATACATTTGACTGTGGACCACACAGACTATATCAGAAGTGTCAACCCTCAGGACGATTGTTTTCGAACAGCTTGTGCTATTCAGGGGTAGGTGCAAGTTTCTATAGTACATGCCAAGCAAGCCCGCCAAATACGGCCTAAAGATCTTCTGGGTTTGTGATGCACGCATCCCCTATGCAATAGATGGTATAGTTTACACGGGGAGACAACCAGGGGAAGAAGTTCAGAAGAATCTGGGGGAAAACATTGTCCAGCAGTTGTGTAGTAGATTTAGAAACACAGGTCGCAACATCACCATGGATTACTTTTTCACCAGTGTGCCTCTTGCGCAGCATCTCCTGGAGAAGGATCCCACTATTGTGGGGACTCTACGTCAGAACAAGCCAGACATCCCTCCTCTGATGAAGCCTTCCAAGTCCAGGGAGGTTCACAGCAAAGAGTTTGGATTCAACGACAGCCTTACCGTGGTCAGCTTTGTCAGAAAGAAAGGAAAAGCGGTTGTGCTCCTAAGCACGATGCACCACGACAAAGAAGTGGATGAAAATAGCACAAAGAAAAAAACAGAAGTGATCACATATTACAACAAGACAAAAGGAGGTGTAGACACCACTGACCAGATGGTTGGCCCATGGTGCTGTGGTACAACATAATTGACATCGCCACCCTGAATGCCTACACCTTTTTCACGGCTCAGCACCCAGAATTCAATGCACAACGGCTCTTCCTCAAAGAGCTCTCAAAGGAGCTTGTCACACCACACATGAGGAGTCGACTGGAAGGCTGCCCCAACTGCAAACCCAATTCTTGAAGCAATGGAAAGGTGTGGGGTGACAAAAGCCACAACCCAGCCACAGGAAGGAAGCAGACAGGGACAACCAAAGAGAAAGAGGTGTCAGATCTGCCCAAGTAACAAAGATCGCAAAGTCAACAATAGGTGTGGGAAATGCAATGTACCTGTGTGCAACGATCACAGCCAGAAACAGGTAGTTTGTCTGAACTTCAGACATGAAATCATTCTTCTGTGGTCCTAAATATAATACTAAATATTATATTAGTGATTATTCTTAACCAAAATGACAAAAAATGGCAGAAAAACACATAGATTCTAATGTGGGTCATTTTTGACCCATTTATGGAAGAGTGTAGGGTCCAGTCACTCGTGCATCTAAGGGTTAAGACGGTAATGAGCGTCTGTTGCGTCTGTCGGTAAGTAACACTGCGGTTAGTAACACTGCGGTCACGTCAGCCTCCACTTCGGGAAACACAGTCAAGCCAGCCCGCAGGTTCTTTCGCGGTGCGCGTTTATACCAGAGGTTACGGTAGTGGAAAGAACTGACTTCAAAATAAGAGCATTTCCAATTAACGTGTCAAACTCATTTAATAAGTCTGTAAATCCCATATGAATATGATAATACATTACAAAAACAGGGGAATGGACACATTATATAGGGAAAACATGTGATTTCAATTGTGTAATGTACTTTGTATTATGTATTCAAATAGATATACTTTATTGATCCCTCAAGAGGGAAATTTTGGTGTCACAGCAGCATGTACAGGGAAGAACCCCAGAACGCGCGTTCTGGGGTTCATGGCTCCTCTGTGCTTCTCTCTCTCTTCGACCTGGTGTTTCTCTCCCTGTGCTCTCTGCATCATTGCCTGTCCTCTCACTTCCTGAAAAAATATGTTGAATTTCAGAGTTAACCAGTTGAGCAGCCTGTCAATTACACTGACAACATAAGTTAAAGGAACACTCATGTACTACCTGTGTCATAATAAATAGCCTACAGCATGTTTTGTTTTCACATTGAGAACTGACTTGTTTTCTAACGCTTACAGGCTACTCTACACCTTTCATGACTTAAAATAATTGATTAAGCATATAGGCCTATTCAGTGAAGCAACAGCTTTGCTCCCCGCTCGTGATGACAGGGGAGGCAGAGCCTTTCAACATTGACTGGATTTTCTCCTAATTATGTGCGCGCGTCACCAGACGTTTTTCTTGTCCAGACCGTAATACAGCGCAGATGAACATGATTCAGACTACGGCGTTTATATGTTCAACAATAGGAAACGTAGTCTTAGCTGTTTTAAAATTACACCAAGTTTATTTCGGATTATTCCAACGGAAGAATACAAGGCGCAGGGAACTTTGAGGTGCGTAAACGCCACTTATAGGTGCGTAAACGCTATTTATAGGTGCGTAAACGCTATTTCCAAAATTCCAGAGGTGCGTAAACGGCGTTTACGTGCGTTTACCCTCCACTACAGCCCTGCATGAGCCAACTTCTTGTCAATTTTACATGGCATTTAAAGGCAATAATCAACAGTTACATAGTACCTCCACTTCAGGCTGATAGTAGACAATCTCAAGGTGGTACAAGTTGAATTATTATGTAACTTTTGATTGTTTCCTTTGAAATCTAATCTAAAATTGATCAGAAGTTGGCTCGGGAAGGATATTTTAGAGAAAGTTGGTAAATGTATGACATTTTGACAGGCTTTAATTCTGAAATGGTACATCAGTCCCGGTTATCACTGAGTCACACCTTGGGGTTGGGTACTATTAGCCTGAAGTGGAATAATTATGTATCTATTTTTTTTTACAACTGTTTTTTTTGTTTTCTCCACGTTACACAAACAACAAAGAAACGAGACTAAACAAAAACAGGGCACATCAGAAAGTACATATGAGCAAGTCATTATGCAACTATTGATTGTTTCCTTTTAAATCTAATCTGAAATCGACCATAAATTGGCCTGTGAATGTGATTATAAAGGAAATTGGTTAATGTATGACATTTTGACAGGCTTTAATTTTTAAATGGTACATCTGAATAAGTAATTACACAATTGAAACTACATTTTTCCGCCAATATTTTGCATGCAGTAATTATTATTTTGTGTTTAAAGTTATTTATAGACTGTATATCCTAACTTTTCTATTTCACTGTTTTTCTAAGGTATTATCACATTTATATATGAGTTACAGACTTATTGAATGAGGTGCACGTTCAGTGAAAGTGCTCTTATTTTGAAGTCAGTTCTTTCCACTACCGTAACCTCTAGTATAAACGCGTACAGCGAACTAACCTGCGGGCAGGCTTGACTGTGTTTTCCGAAGTGGAGGCTGGCTTGACCGCAGTGAAGCAATAGAAGCTCCGTAAGCCAATAGTAAATTAAATATAACTAAGTGCAACTGACGTTGTGTAAAGTTATTATAGTTAACAGGAACAAAGGAATAAAGTTAATAAATAAAACAAAGGGTGTGATTCGGTTGTATGCAAAGGGACCAGTTATACCTCAAGGCCTTTGAAACTGTTGGTAAGACACAATAACACTGCATCGAGTAAATGTTTGATATCAACAATCTCTCACTGCTACAAACTGCTCACGTCTGCTTCAAAACTTCCAGAAGTATCTGCTTAGATGTTCCCAAAGGATTTAACTTCACAGGCCTTTTGTAGACTGGAGAAAGATTACAAGTGCTGTGGGTTTTTTTGGGCTGGGGAACTGGATGCTTTCAATAGATCAAACTGTGGGGCAGGTTCACAGTCGGGCAAACATTTGACTAAACCAAGCAGAGGACAGAGCAGCTCATTGAAGGTATAGAATACATGTTGTATTTGCGTCACGGAGTGATGAAGAGCTGTGTGAATGATGGACTATTCTAAAGCTCACCGCACAGTGACAGTGAACTCACAATGGGAGTGATGACATCTGACAGACTTTAATCAAATCAAATTTGAGTAACAAGGTTTGTTGCGTTGCAATTATTTTAATAGGATACATGGTTGGATAATCTGCTCGTGAATATTGTATAAATAGAAGTCTACTTGTAATTTTGTTTATATACATCCGTATACACCATCTGCACTGCATCTTGTTTCTGCAAAACCCCAAATATGTCCAATAGGTAACAAAGTAGTAATATGCAAATATATATTCAAATTCTGTACATGGTCTGGACTTGTTTCAATGCCTGTACCTGCGCCGTCGGAATAACGTATTAATAAACTTATTATTAATAAATTCCCTCTCCTCTCTCTCTCTCTCTCTCTCTCTGTGTCAGTTAATACTGGTGACAAAATGAGTAATGATAAGAGTTCAAATAACAATGCAACATTTTAAATATTGATGTTTATATTTATGTAATTATATGTATAGACACATATAAATATATCACAAGTATATCAATGGGTATTTATATAAAACATATATTCCATCTCTGTGTATATAAATGTACTTCCGAGGTTTTCCACAGCCTTCACCGCTGCTTCACCTTCCACCGCGCCCCGTGACGTCGGTAAAGTGACGTCATCGTGACGTTGGGACTTCCGCGTCGTCATCCTCTGCGTCGCTGGCTGAGGATGAAGTGAGCGATCGGTCGCCGAGGGCCGGACTCTCTGACCCCGCCGGAGCTCACGCGCCAACGTACGCGCGCCCCCCCCCGGCGTTTTTGTGTGGTCAGAAGCTGTGGACGTGTTCGCGAAGAGCGGAGCGGCGGAGTGACCTTGTTTACGCACAGGCGGAAGCTAATGCTAGCCAATGCTAACGATAGCCTCTGGGAGTTAGCGGCTAAGGACGCAGCCAGCTAAACCGAAGAGACCGCTAACTGTCGCCTTAAACTCGGATGTGTTCTGTTTGTGCACGCGGTCGAACAGTCCTTGAGTGAGTCAGCGTATTCTGAACTAAAGGCTCGTGTTTCGTGGTAGCTAGCTGTGAATAAGAGGCTATGTTGTGGTTGTTTGCTAGGTTAGCATCTTGGGTCGTTTCCGTTGGACGTCATTATTGCGTCATGTTGTCGTCATCTTTTCCGATTGTTTTTTAAATGCAGGGGCGACACGAGGCGGGACCATGCTGGCGCGTCTGTTCAGGCTCCACGGCCTGCTGGTGGCCTCCCACCCGTGGGAGGTGATCGTGGGCACCCTGGCCCTCACCGTCTGCCTGGTGTCGATGAACCACAACCTGGCAGCCAGCAGCCAGATGTGCAGCTGGAACGAGTGCCCCAAAGTCGAGGAGGCGAGTTCGAGCGGCCAAGGAGGGAGTGCAGGCAGCTAATGTCAAGTGTAAACACAGGATACGAAGAACTGATGTGGTGTTTGTGCTCGTGTTACAGAAAGTCCACAGCAGCGGCGAAATCATCCTCACCGTCACTCGCTGCATGGCCATCGTTTACATCTATTTCCAGTTCAAGAATCTGCGGCAGCTGGGCTCCAAATATATTCTGGGTCAGTGTGAAGAGCCGGCTCGGCTCGGCCACAGCCCTTTCTCAGTGACGAGACCTCACAGATGTTTTAAACGTCAACATCTGCTCTCCTCGCAGGTATTGCAGGATTGTTCACGGGGTTTTCGAGCTTCATTTTCAGCACAGTGGTGATCCACTTCTTTGGGAAAGAGCTGACGGGACTTAAGTAAGTGAACAAACGCAGCCGGCGGATCGATACAAACGGCTCACTGGTTTCTAACAGCCGTTGAAGTCATTCCGCGTGTGATTGAGGTTTCTCTCGTCCTTTTCACCTCCTCTTCATTAACAGTTTTAATAGAAGAACAGAATCAGAACACGTATAATGGCTGTTGAGATCACATAGATCATGTGGCATACACAGTGTCCTCCGGCTGTATTTAGAAGGAGAAACATAACCAGGACGGGTCTGATATTAAAGATCTCACAGAGGACGCTGTGACCCGTGGGAATGGAAAGGCAGTGTCCCTTGTGGACCTCTGGCTCTTCAACAATGTGGACACGTGGACATTCCCTGATTGACACTTGTGTCTCCCTCCCCTGCAGTGAAGCTCTGCCGTTCTTCCTCCTGCTCATTGACCTGTCCAAAGCCTGTGCGTTGGCCAAGTTCGCCCTGAGCTCAAACTCTCAGGTAACACACACACACACACACACACGTGTGTCGGTGAACTGAGATGAGCTGTGTGTTGATTGATAAGAAAGGTGACGGGTGCGGTGGCCGCGTGTCTTGTGTGCAGGAGGAGGTGAGGGAGAACATCTCTGAGGGCATGGCCATCCTGGGCCCCACCTTCACCCTGGACGCCGTGGTGGAGTGTCTGGTCATCGGGGTTGGCACCGTGTCGGGTGAGCGTTTTTCTTTTCTAACACTCCGCCGTGGCGGCGTGCTGAGCGGTAAAATGACACCCATCACCTCTGCCGTTGTCTTCCAGGCGTGCCCCAGTTGGAGATCATGTGTTGTTTCGGCTGCATGTCCGTCCTGGCCAATTACTTTGTCTTCATGACCTTCTTCCCTGCGTGCGTGTCCCTCGTCCTGGAGGTGAGGATGAGCAACGTCTACCTCACATACACCGACAGAAATGCACCGCGGGGTTGATTCTTCACATGATGTATCCGATACCGAGTCTGAATCGAAAGGATGTCCGTCTCGCCCCGGTAAAGTCCGATAGGGCTTCCGGCTCGCGGCGGATCCCTGCGCGTCCTCATGTTTGTCTCTGCGTAGTTGTCCAGGGAGAGTCGCGAGGGACGTCCAATCTGGCAGCTGAGCCACTTTGCCCGTGTGCTGGCTGAGGAGGAGGACAACAAGCCCAATCCGGTGACCCAGAGGGTTAAAATCATCATGGTGAGAAAAAAAAACCCAACTTGGTGCTGACCGTATTATTCAAAAGGGCTTCAAAGCTAAATGGTTCTTTTAGTTCACAGAGCAGCTTATTGATCTTTTTCACGTCCTCCCCAGTCTCTGAGCCTGGCCCTGGTTCACGCTCACACTCGACTAGCAGCCGAGCAGCCGGGTCAGAACCGCTCGGCCGAGGGGCTCCAACGCTATGAGATGTCCTCTGGTGGAACCATGAGGCCCCTGAAGCTCACCAGGTAACAGCGGCACATTTCCCTGTTGACTCCTGTGCAGTAACTGCAGCTCTATTGGTACACGCAGGTCGGTGTAAACATCTGTAATCATCTGTAAATGGTCCTGAACTCGCCGTCTTTGTATTAGAAAGAAAAGAAGCATATGAATATCCAACAATTTGACTTGGCTTCAAAATGTATATTTGTATTCCTCGTGGTATCACTGCGGCGAGTAGTACTGACGCAGGCTGTGCCTCCCCAGCATGCACCTGGAGCAGGTGATAACTCTCGGCCTCGCTCTGCTCCTGGCCGTGAAGTACGTCTTCTTCGAGCAGACGGAGACGGAGTCCTCGCTGTCCCTCATGAGTCCCATCACCAGCTCTCCTGCCACCCAGAGGCCCGGCGTGGAGGGGGACGTCCGCAGGTGGGAACCGCCGGCCCCGAAACCCCGGGCGACCGCCGGCGCCGCCTCCGGCCGCGGGGGCCCCCCCGAGGCCGACGCGGCTTCCAGCGAGAGGGGTGAGGCTTGTAGTCGCCACCGAGGGGGAAAAGCAAACACGCCGAGGGGACGTCTTTGTTGCTTAGCGTGACTCTTTGCCTTCCTCCGCAGCGGCCCCCCCGGAGAGCGGCCCCCGCGCTCCTTGTTTTGAGGAGTCTCTCGCTCAGACCCCTGAAGGCAGGCGGGCTCCCGAGGCGCGGCCGCTGGAGGAGTGCGTGGCCATCCTCTCGGATCCTCAGGTAGGCCCATGCACGGGCGCGAATGTTCTCGTGGACTTGTGGACTTGTTTGACGGAGCCGGTCTGTTGCCCTGCAGAGGGGGCCTCGGCTTCTCAGCGACAAAGAGGTGATGAACCTGGTGTCCTCGCGCAACATCCTCAACTACAAACTGGAATCGGTCCTGGAGACTCCGGAGAGGGGCGTGGCCATCCGGAGGGACATGCTGTCCCCCAAACTGCCTGTTCTCTCTGCTTTGGCTTCTCTTCCTTACAAGGAATACGACTACTCTAAGGTACTGGGCACGTTTCTACAGCCCCTCCGTGCGGAGCTGCATCTACTTGATGATGATGATAAAACTCATTTTAGGATGAGGGGAGGCTTGAAGTCAAGACCGTGAGAAGTTCTCAAAAGATCAAGTGTCATTCTCCTTTTAACTTTCTGAATAATATGATCAGGTCTGAACTCTGAAAAAGCCTTTAAAAGCAACACGTATTCCATATCTAAATGTCCAAATCTAAGATAATAAATGACCTACAAGCACAAATCAGATGTTCTGCTTGTTTGTCCCGCCCCCTAGGTGATGGGAACCTGCTGTGAGAATGTCATTGGTTACATCCCGGTGCCAGTGGGCGTGGCCGGTCCCCTCCTCTTGGACGAGAAGCATTTTTACGTTCCCATGGCGACCACAGAGGGTTGCCTGGTGGCCAGCACCAACAGAGGATGCAGGGCGCTCTCTGTGAGTGGGGGGGGGGGGGGGGGGGGTGGATATCTCTCTCTCTCTGTGAGTGGGGGTGGATATCTGTGTGTGTGTGTGTGTGTGTGTGTGTGTGTGTGTGTTCGTGTGTGTTCTGACTCTTCTCGTCCTGTTCAGCTGAGCGGGGGCTGCCACAGCAGGATCCTGGCTGACAGCATGACCCGGGGCCCTGTGGTGAGGCTGCCCTCGGCCTGCCGGGCGGCGGAGGTCAAAGTCTGGCTGGAGACCCCGGAGGGGTTCGCTGCCATGCGAGATGTTTTCGACCAGAGCAGCAGGTTGGAGGAAAACGCTTTAGGGGTCGCAGGTTTTCCGCCCTGCTGCGATCGCGCATACAGATGATGTTCATCTCGTCCTCCGGCAGGTTTGCCCGCCTGGAGAAGCTGCTGGTGGGCTTAGCGGGGAGGAATCTGTACATCCGCTTCCAGTCTCAGACAGGGGACGCCATGGGCATGAACATGCTCTCCAAGGTGCAGCAGCGTCTTCGCTCCTGTTTTCAGGCAACCCACTTTTTTTCCCCCCCCTGCGGTGCGTAAACAGGTTGTTGTTTTTCCCTCAGGGGACGGAGCACGCTCTGCAAAGACTCACACAGCAGCATCCAGATGTGGAGGTGCTCTCGGTCAGCGGAAACTATTGCACCGACAAGAAGTCCGCAGCCATCAACTGGGTCCTGGGTCGGGGAAAGTCCGCCGTGTGCGAGGCCACCGTCCCTGCCGCCGTGGTCCGGGAGGTAAAGACGAGGAATTTATTCCTTCAGTTCACGCTTTGTTTTTAAATCATACGTTCCCTGCTGAAACAAATCGTGTGTGTGTGTGTGTGTGTTTCTGTGTGCGTGCGTGAACAGGTGTTGAAAAGCAGCACCGCTTCTCTGGTGGAGCTGAACATCAACAAGAACCTGGTGGGCTCGGCGATGGCCGGCAGCATCGGGGGCTTTAATGCTCACGCTGCCAACATAGTAGCAGCCATCTACATCGCCTGTGGACAGGTGAGGGGGTTGGGGGGGGGGGGGTTTCCATTCTCCAGGCTTCGGCCACTGACCACCCCCCCAAAGTGTTAAAGATTCCAGACAAAAATACTGTTTTAAATGTATTGGTTGTGGTATAACGAGTAATCCCAGGCAGAATTATCAGTTACTTCAAAAGGAAAGGTTATGGTAGGTAGTAGTATGGATTCTAGAAACGGAACATAATCCATCTGCCGACTATGACGCTCCGGTCAAAGGTCAAAGGGGTCAACATGGCGTCGTCAGCTGACCGTTTGGCTCGTTTCAGGACCCGGCTCAGACGGTGGGGAGCTCCAACTGCATCACCCAGATGGAGGCTGCGGGGGCGGGAGGAGAGGACCTGTACATCAGCTGCACCATGCCCTCCATAGAGCTGGGCACGGTGGGGGGCGGCACCAACCTGGCGCCGCAGCAGGCCTGTCTGCAGGTACCTGGCTTAATTTTTTTATTTTTTATTTAGAAATTCAGAGGCAACAAGTGCTGAATACGCAAACATAAGCCTGGTGACGCGTCGTCCCTTAGATGCTGGGGGTCCAGGGCACCAGCGCCGGCGAGCCGGGTGACAACGCCCGCCAGCTGGCCCGCGTGGTTTGTGCCACGGTGCTGGCCGGGGAGCTGTCCCTGATGGCCGCCCTGGCAGCCGGACACCTCGTCAAGAGCCACATGGTCCACAACAGGTCGGATAGTTCACGTCGCCACAGACGCCATGAGTTTGAGTTTGTTTTATTTTCTAATATTTTTCACACTTTTTGGTTTCCAGATCCAAAACGAACCTCTCAGAAACACTTTCGCCGGCGTGACGTCGCCTGTGGGCCGTCGGGGCCGGACGTCCCCGCGCCGTTATGTTACCATTGGAGTGTTTTTGCTCTGATAAATGGATCTCTGCTCGTTGAGACGCGCCCGTGTTTCCTAAAAGCCGACCCGCTGGCTGAATGTCGCTGCTCATTGAAGCTCCGTATACCGTGTATACTGCACATGAAGACAGACACTGACTGCTGACAAATAGAAACTCAAAGCCATACTTAATGTAATAAAGTGGCGTGCCATTAAATGTTTTTTTGGAAGCTTTGTGGCCTTTTAGTTTGTCGAAGTTGAACCGTTTCATGTTCTAGAATATTCAATTTCAAGCCTTTTCAAAGATTGTATTTTTTTCTTTTTAATAAATCAACGAGCATCTCGATATCTAACAATTTGAATATAATTAGCGTTTTTATTTTACTATGAAATGAAAGTCATGTTTTTAATAACACACAAAGGAGGATGAACTTATTTATTTCACTGCTGTCACAGTACATTTGTAAGTCGATCCCACAGCTTTATTTACACAAAGGTGTTTCGTACTATGTACAGTTACCATTAGTACAATTAAGAAATGTGTGATTCATGTGGTCCACAGGTGGGAAATGTACTCGGTACAAAGTACCGATGCTCTATTTCTAAAAGTATTCTCTGGAAAATCAAACCGTGTAACTTCCTACTAAGAAAAAAGGTTAATTCATTGTGTGAGCGACGCGCTTCCCTCAATGTGACGGATGGAAGCAGCAGAATTGTTTTACTTTCACCTCCAGAACATTGTGAATCCTCCTAGAAGCAGCCTTCAGGGGGAAGAGCCTCATGTGGTTAGTAGGACAAGTTCTGAACTCCATGAGGCACTTACTAGTGACCCCCCCCCCCCCGTAACACTAAGGCATTTGGGCTCCACCCAGTCGGAACAATACCTCCAGAGAAATGTTAGTGACACTATTTTACAAACCGTTACAAGCACACAAAACAAAGCCCAGCCAACAGTGTGCGTTAAATATGCGAGTCCTCTCGGCCCCCCCCTCCATCGGCACCAGAGGCGTTTTCATGAGAGGGGCGGAGTCAAAGAGGTCAAGTCTTACATCATAGGGGTCACGAGTCAATGACGGCCCTCTGGACTTAAATCAAGCAGCGAAAGTTGGCAGCTTCAAAATAAAGCCGGAAAACGACCAATTATGAAAAATCCAAACACAAAGTAGGAGATATTAACAGCAAGAATAAAATATTTCAGTCTATTAGCAAAGGTTGTTTTCTTAGAAACTTCTTATAGAACATACGTACATTTATATATTATATCTGTAAGAAAATCGACGTGACAAGTCAGTCCTCTACACGAGCTGCATCACACCTCATCTCACCCACGACCCCCCCGAACACAAGCCAACTAGCATTTTATCAAAACCAAAAGGGGGGAGAGCAGCAATCCCTTGAAATGATTACGATGATAAATCCGTCTATTCTTCTCCAATGTCATCAGCTTTGGCCTCAAAACAAGATGGGTTTGCCGGCGGTCTTCTCCTGGACGTAGGAGGTGAAGCGCTTGAGGAACTTGGGGTACTCCCTCTTAGCCACGGCCCGGAGCACGGAGGCGGGGGCCCACCCTCCGGGATTCACTGCAGACACACAACTCATCGTTTACTTTGTCGAGTATGTGAAACAAGTGTCACGACACATTGAAGACGTGGAACCTTTGACACGCACCATTAGCAACGTAGGTGATTTTACACAGGATGTTGTCCCTGCTGATCTCCTTGTCTCCCTCGGGGGGGCTGACCAGCGTCTGGCAGATCATGCCGATGTTGATTTTGGCGCGCACGCAGCGGCCGGGCGGCTGTGGAGGCGACAGGGCGGAGTTAGCGTTCACAATCAGAGCCTCCGGAGCGTGCGGCGTGCGGCCCGGGCGGCTCACCTGAGCGTCGTCGTGGTCCACGGAGAAGTTGCAGACCAGCCAGGTGTCCGGGTCGTTCTCGTTGTTGGCCAGGATCTTCCTCATGGCCGACAGGTACAGCACGTCCCTCTGGGAAGCCGGCCACACCCGCTGCAACGACACGCCGTTTAGAGCTCCACCCCTCCGGGCAGCGGGTGACCTGGTCACCGCCGCGGCGCTCTTACCTTGTGCGTCTGGTAGACGACGGTCGCGTTTTCCGACAACGTCTCCACAACGTTGAAGTTTTCAATCGTGGCTGAAACGAAGAGGCGGAGGACACGAGGATGTCAATGAGTCTGAGCCGCTGTGACGGCGCGTGGACCTCGTTCTGAGGGACTTACTCTCCCAGTCGTTGCGGTAGGCCGTGTCCCAGAAGTAGTGGCACACCTCGTGCCCGGTGACCCCCTTCACCGAGTGGGTGGCCTTCAGCGGGTCCAGAACGATGCCGTTTTCCTCCACCTCTCGGCGGTACACCTGAGGACAGAGGGGGGCATTAGGGCTCCTTCTGGGCCGCGTCCACGCCGGGGGTTTAGACGAAGGGACATTGCACCAACCCCCCTACCTTCATCTCTCCCTCTTCTACAACCAGCTGCCAGTTGGCGTCTCCACCTACGTCCTGCAGGGAGTAGGTCATGTGATTCTGCACCATCTCCTCCACCTATGACACAAGGCCGGGGGGGTTTCGTTACATAAGGACAACTCAAAAGCTTGGCTGCATCTACTGAAACACAAGACAACAGCCCTAACCGGGCGAAGGAGGGGGGGGGGGGCGCGTTACCTTCTCGGAGAATCGGTGTGTGCCGATGCTGGAGTAGATGTCCCCTGGGGGGACGGGGCTGGATCTGTGGAGCCGGATCTTCTCCGTGTGAGACTGAGAACAAGCAACCACAGAATGAGAAACTCGTCCTCGGCGTCCATGTTGAGGCAGAACTCGGAGGTCTTCGGCCCACCTGCTCCTCGATCTTGTCCTGTCGGTCCAGGGCGGCTTCCACCGCGTCGAAGAACTCGTCCTCGTTTATGAGGCTGTTTGGACCTTCCTGGCGACAAAGCGCAGAGGGAACGTTCCTTCAAAAAGGTTCCTTTGCAAACGGCCACACCAGGCTGCATTGTGGGTGAAAATGTACTTCACCTCGTAATCCGGACCTCTCAAGTGGGACTTTTTCTTCATGTCATTCAGGGCGGATTTGTAGCCCTCCTCTATTCTACGGCGCTTCTCCATCTCCTAAAACACAAACATGCAGAATCACTGAACAAATACGACCTTATATGATCTCCTCCTTCGCTGAACTAAATGGATTGAGATGAGGAGAAATGTCCATCTACACACCTTATCCACCCTCTTCTGCCAGCTGTCTTCTCTCTTCACCATGAGGTCGATGCAGTGGGACAAAGTGGCCAAGATCCCGGCCGTGGTGGCCTTGAACGTGATGGCCTCGCCCTTAAAGTCGATGCCGTTGATCCCCTTGGGACTCACGGCCTGGAACACTGCACACAGTAAGACAAAGGCCACTTGTGACAAACGCTGCTCACTTCCTAAAAGTACGATTCCCTGTCAGAGGGAAACGTAGTTTATTCCTTACAAACTACTCTTTTTGCTCGTGGTACATTTGACAGTTCCGCTCATTTGAATTGTGTTGATATCAGCTCATGTCGCTTTGAAGGAAACGCGTCACTACTCACGTTTTTCTTTGCTGCCGTGGTTGTTGTGCAGAAACTCTCCATCGGTCCGCGTGTTGGGAAAGTCGTCCTCATCGTCCTCCACAACTGGAAACGAGAAGAGAAATCACGTCTGAGAGGAAAGGCTGGAGGACCCTGCAGAGCTAATGCTACGGCTAACGCCACGGCCACAGCGCCACAATGGGCTGGTTTCATCTTCAGAATGGAGACAGAGCGAGAGGGAGGTGAGGAGAACAAAAGCACGGCTTCATCCACGCGCTGGGCGGGGGGGGGGGGCGACAACACACACATTCCACACACGGTTCATCACCTACATACGCAGAAGGCAAACCAAATGTTCCCCGACGTCAGTATTCTAGCATGTCAACACATCAACTATTATTTTCATTATTTTTTCAATTTATCATTTTGAAAAAGCTGAATTTAATTGATTGAATGTGTGTTATAAAAACAGCTGGAATCAATAAATATTCTTGTCATTTCAAACAATGGAAGAAACTGTCAAAATACATTTTTTTAAATTTTGAATTGATTCGCTCTCGTCTGAAGCCATCAATCAATCAGATGCCTCCAGAGTGACACAGTAGCTGGTGGAAAGCGGCGTGGGTGTCTGCGGGTGTCTTACTCTTGTCCCGCTGCAGCTCGTCCTTCGACACGGCGTCTGAACATCCATCAAAGTATTTCTGCAGCGTGTCCACCTGCCTGCACAAGATGTCCCTGAAGGTCTCCATCTCCGCCAGCTTCTCCCGCAGGCTGTGACCCTTCTTGAGGAACAACAAAGCCCTTTGTTCAGATTCACGTGGAGCAAATTTCAACCTGGAAATCCAGGAGGTGTGCGCCGATAAAAGTAACAAACTAGGTGTGTGTGTGTGTGAGAGAGATTGCAAACAACAGAAAATTCCATTTGATGAATGTTGGATGATTCCTTGGCCACGTTGACCATTAAGCAGGACTCACCTTGAAGGAGGACGAGGAGGTGGCGGAGAAGCCGCTGGTGGCGGATGTGAGCGACAGCATGGAGCCGTGTCTCCGCAGGCTGGACTCGGAGCCGTATCCAGAATCAGCCTGAGGACAAACAGAGTAAACAGACTTTAACACCTTGTTATCAATTCAAAACACCACGGGGGGGAAGTCCGCCTATTCTGATGTTTAAACCATCGCATCAATATTTCATTTTTATTTAAAAAAGATTAAAACAGCTTTCCAGAAAGCCTGAATAATGTTTAGAATGTTGTGATGAAACCTGACACACACTCAGTGACCACGGCAACAGAAACAACAACTAACATCTAACCGACTGTTGCATAACAGCAGAGAGCAGGCGGGCTCCTCCGATCTCCACCACCAGGGGGCGCACGCCGCCCGGCCATGTGACCGCGCGCTGACAGCCGGGGTTACTGTCGGTCAACAGCCGACAGTAGTCACGCCGCCTGCATTTGCATGGATTTCAGTCCCGTCAGGCAACACGCGGCGTCGGCACAGATTGACTATGCAGCCGCCGGCGAGAGCGATTATCAGACGCAAGCAGAGCTTTGCGTTTCAGCTATGGAGAAGTGGAACACGAGACAAAGGGACTGAGCGACTGATACGATCACATTCGTCACATTCGTCAAGCCCCCGGCGTCACGTACACACGTACACATGCATACATGCACGCAGCGCAGCTGGGGACAAAACATGCCCCCCCCCCCCAAAAAAAAAAAAAAAAAAAAAAAATGAACTGACTTATCTGGGGGCCGGAATAAAATGACCATAAAAGGTGAAGTTACGTTACTAAAAGGCGCGTCGGACACCTCGTCACTGCCCGTTTAACCTTTACCCAAACTTCCTCTAACAGAGAGGAAACGAGTTCTCTCACTGAGACGCGTCACTGATGCGTGCGGTTGGTCTCCGTGGAAACGCTGAGCTGCTGGTGTGAGTAATGTGGGTCGGACAGGGGAAGAGGAAGAATTGGTGAGTCATAGTGGGTGGAAGGTGTGTGTGAGTCACAGTGGCTCCCTGACTCAAGGATAGGCCGTGGGGAGGAACGGGGGGTGGTGGGGGTGGTTTTTCCCAAATTAAGCCCCAGGAGCAACATCCCGGCGGGAGGTGTGGGGGTTGCGCGTGCTCATCCAGACGGATTTAGGACTGTTGCTTCACTCTGGATTCGGTTTCAAACATTCAGACAAACCCAAGTTTTGGATGAATAATCGAACCCCTCAAACGCTGGATTACCATTGAGGGTTTTTTTCATTTATGTGAGACCCCCTTTAAATTTTTGAGGGTTGGCTCCCGGGTGTTTAAAAAGGAACATTGCCCTCATTTATCCCCCCCCCCCCCCCCCCGCGCCTCCATTGTCTCCTGCTCAGCAGTCCACAGTAGCAGCCGGATTCCTTTGTCCTTCACGTTGACCGAATACAATCGCTGCTACTTTGGCTCTTTACAGGAGTTTTATACGCAGCATTTTAAAATGGAACTTTGCATTTCCCGCCTGTGTAATTTCACTTTTTTACTATTGTAAAAACAATACAAAGGTTCTCTCCTCCCGGATGAGTGTCGTGAACCTTTCCTGTTGTGTGTCAGGGAGGGATTAAGATAAACCTGAGCCAATTGTTGGTCCAAGTAGAAGATAAGTTTCAGCTCAGCGTGCCCTCTGTTCAGAGCCTTTGAGTGAGTCATGCACCAATCTAATCCAGGACTTAGGGACCAAGTTAACACAAACACACACTTGCTACTACAGAGTACTGTGCTAAAGACGAGCGAAGCGCTCATTTAGTTCTGCCAACTTGCCAACAAACGCACCAGTGGTGGAGGGATGAATATTGTCCCCTGGACTCCTCCCTTCTCTCTCCTCCCCTCTCTGATTGTCTGATAGAAACACACACACAATAAACACAAAACACACACAAGTCCAACCCTGCGTCGGACGACATTTATTTGTTGCAAAGGTGACGGGGGTTTGGCTCCTGTCGGAGCGGTTGGACTCACTCTGTGCAGCTCCACCGAGTCGATCCACTGGTGCCGGTGCTCGGGGTCCTGAGCCCTCAGGTACCACACGCTGTCGTTCACGCTGATGTCCAGCCGGCACTCGTCAAACTCATGAGGCTAACAGAGGGACAGAGGGTTTAGTCAGCGCATTGGAAAATGAGGATCTTATTAAATGATGAAAGCCTGGATATCTCAGAAACGGAGGAGACTGGAAACATGGAGGCTGTTCTCCTGACAGTCCCACAAAAGCGGAGGACAACGGTCCTTTTAAGGCCGCCTGCAGGACGGAGCGTGTTCCTAACAGCCCCCCAGAGCACTGTTAGCGCTGCGCTAGCACGGCGACCAAGGAGCACGTGTGTGTGTGTGTGTGTGGGGAATGGTGGTGAGCGCCCCGGTGTTTTACTTGTGTAGTAATTACACAAGTAAAACCGAATGACTTACAGGGACATGGCATGTTTTCTGGTTATTCAAAAAAAAGGACCACGTGCTTTTGTAGACTCGTTTGGATCAAATACTTACTATATATAATAGTATTTGATAATTTTCTGAAAAACCACAGTAATCAGATTGTAATTGATCTGAACTTGGAGCCTCAGTGAGCGGACAGGAAACAAACAGACTAAAGGTTTCACTGGAGGTGAGCGACACCTGGACGCCGCAGAGGCCGAAGCAGCTTGTGGCTGTAAATAATGCACGACGGGACGCCGAGAGCTCGCCAGCCCCAGAGGCGTGGAACCACCCCCCCCCCACCAGAAGAGGAAGCGCCACAGAGGAAGGAAACGGGTTCGATTTGTCGCTAGAAAGACAAACGATAAAAGACGACAGCGCTCATCAGTTTTAAATGGAAGCGGCTGTGCACCAGCACGGCAGAACTTGGGGTCATTTGGTTCTAGGAAAGGGTCACGGGCAGGCTGAGTGGAACCCAGGGTCGGGGAGGAGCAGGTTACCGGCAACCACGGCAACACATTGATCTCGGCGTGGACCCCACGTGACAGGAGGAGCCGTGTTTGGTTCGCCCGCCGCTTGATTAATGAAGTGAACACGCAGGTCAATGCGGAGGCTTCATGCTGAGAGACCAGCAGCCACAAAGAAACGGATGGACGGAAACTTTAGACGGAACTGCAGCGAAGCGCTTTGGAACCCAGCGAGGTCGTACGAGCGGCTCCTCCTCAGTCAGCGTGCTACAGTCGGCCCCAGTGTTGTGTGTGTGTGTGTATATATATATATATATATATATATATATATAAAAACATATATAAACAATTACATAACCCTTTTCTTCAAACACACTTCCTACCCTCCCAACACGCGCTGAGCGTACGTGTTTGTAGTCACAGTGGAACCCGCCCAGCGAGCGACCACCTCTTAAAACAACACCACCACATTTCATTCTTAGTACCTAAAGAAACAAAAAGGGGGATTAAACCCATGAAAACGACGCGACCCTTCGAGAGCCGCCCCACAGCCAACTGTATCCCATTACTCGCGTGTGTGTATTTAGACATAATTACGCTCCCTGAGGAGGAGATTCAGATAAATATACTATCTTGTGTTCTGTCTGTGCACACGACAACGCGAGGACCTCCAAGGCCCCACAACAGGAAACCCTGCCAAGGACGGGTTAAAACAAACCAGCCACAGGCCACGAGGAAGAGCCTCATTTCCCAACGAAGACACGTTTCCACTACACGGCCGACGTCACTCGTAGAGGTCAGCTGGAGGGTGACCTCTAGTAGGTTCAACCCAGGCAGAACAATGGTCACTTTCTGGATAACCGGTGTTTCTTTGGTAATTAACCGTTCACACCCAGTGATCCCTCCCTTCTGTCAAACAGATGGTGCTTGGGGTGTGTAGAAATTTAAGTGTAATTGATTCTATTGCTATTTACAAGGCTCCTGGGAAAGGACGGGCACCAGCAACCCCTCCATCGTAATCTCGGTTTCCACTCTGTGTCAATTTGCTCTTTTGAGAAACTGAGCATTCGCGCTGGTCGTTTTGCAATAAAGAAGTCACAGGTTCTCTTGCAGGTCCAAAGTTTCACAACTTGAGTGTGCCAACTGAAATCTGTGAATGAGTCACGGTGCAACCTGAACCACAGATTTCAGACCTTTACGCCGAGCGTTCGCACACCAGAGCTTTTACCGGTCGGCCGACAGAAAACGTGGAGGCTGTCGACCAGCAGAGAGAAAGGCTGAACATCTGTTGGTAGCAGCTCCTCGGCTGCTCTCTTTGGCCCGAGTGAATTCGACTGTAATCTTTTTTTTATACACTAATGGCCTTCGAGTCGTAAGTTTGAAGTGTCAAAGCGGTGAACATTAGGTTTGGTACTCTGCTGACATGCAGGTCTTGGTGCTTCGTCTGGGACACACAAGAAGCCGGATGTCTGAGAAGACGGTGTCCCAGTGTTAAAGCAACAATAGACAGAAACACAACAACAAATAGTGCAATAACTACAGCTCATCATTGTTTTTTGAGGCAGAATGCCAGCGGAATGAGAAGTGGCGACAGGAGGGCACCGCAGGGAGGTGCATATTGACATGAGCTGGGACTGGATGAAGCTGAACAAATAGTGTGAACAGCAAAGCCTGCTTCATGCTGCATGCCAGCAGAGACGTGTTCACTTCCCCCGTTACCGTTTGGAGACTCGGGCAACGACTGAGACGTCACGCAGTGTCACGGGCAGCATTGTTGACTCGTTTGGATGCATTTTCTCCGGGACATAAACAAAAGCCCGATTGGCACGTCGGGCGTCTGTGCTTCATACACCGTCAGCTACAGCTGGTTTCTCCCTCCGTCCTAGTAGTGCCCTTGTGGTCCCATGATGAGGCGCTCATAGTCAAGCGTTAAAAAGTCACCTGATGGGCCTAAACACCCTAAAGCAAAACTTGGGACATAATCAGGAGTTATTTTACTACAACAGAAAGGGCTATTGCAGTGGATCAAGAACAAGAACGTCCAGACTGAAGTTCCTCAAAACTGATGTAAATACCCAATAACCAGAAACAAACACAAACATATGGTGGATCACATCTAATAAATCATATACTTAAAGTATGTGGGAGGATAAGGTGGAAAGCGTGAGAGGGAAACAGAAAAGACCATCTTTGCTCTTCAAATATCTCTCGAGTTCTTTTCACAGCCAAATGTAATATGCACACAACTAAAACGCATGTTGTGATTTCTAGTGTGGCCAAGAGTAAAACTCCTGGTGCAAATCCTTCCAGCCCAAACAGACTTCTGTCCAAATTCATCTAGTAATCGATCAGTTTATTACAAGCTGCAGGAAACAGTCCAAGTGTCATCGGGGCCGAGGACAGAGTCTGTGCAGACACCGACTACCCACAGCGACTAACACAGAGCGCATGGCAACAGCTATCCTTTCGTTCATTTCATTTGTAATCATTTAATGTTGTTATTTCCCCAAATTGCTGCGGATTTCCTGATTATGAAAGATTTGCAGTGCAATGTCAACACTGATTAACATAATTGAGTCAGACCACACTGATCAGCTGCTACGCATCGCTCCCTGTCAACAGGAACGAGAAGAAGGTCCAGGCTCTGAACTGTAAACTCTAATATATCCACTGTGGTTAGCAGAGGCACGCAACACAACCAACCAAACACCACCCGGCCCCTCGGCCTACTTCTAAAGGGAAGGTTAATAAACGGAAACATTTTCCAGAGAAAAAGCAGCTGAGGCCGAACTGACAAACAAGGCGAGTGTGTGGCTGCATTTGCAATTGAAATAAACATCCCCAGAGCTCGGTCCTGAATAGCAGAGGGCGTGAGCAGGAAATTTGACTGTTGGTGGCTTGAAAGCGGGAGTGAAGGTTTCCTTCTCTTTGCAAATGCGTCCCTGTTGCACAACAAACAGCGTTTTGAAAAGGGCCGATAGTACTCGTAAGAAAAGGCTGCAGTGAAGACCACAGGACTTACTTCAAAGACTTGCGCATAAATGGTTGTGGAATATCAAAGCACAATCAGCAGAAAGAAAAGCTGCTTTGTGGCAAAGGAGCCGCAGTACTCACAGTGACGACGGCCTTGCTGAGGCAGAGGGAACCCCGGCAGCCGTACTCGGTCTCATTCTGAGACTTGTAGTAGCTCAGCGTGTTGTTCTTCAGGACCACCCAACGGTCCTGCCAACCGTGGATGTAATTGGTCCACTGAAAAATAAAGCACAATCATCAATATCTTTAAACGCCGAGTGAGTGGAAGAAGAAAAGAGAAAACCCTGAATAAATAGCTCCTTGCTTACAGGCAGTAGTTTGAACCTTCTACTTTGGTTCTTCTTCCTTTAACGTTTAGAGGCTTCACTTTGTGGTTGTGTTATTGGCAGAAGTGCAGCCGTACGCAGAGAAACATTCAACACCTGAGTCGAATAAAACCAAACCACAAACTACAACCTTAACAACCGGCCCAGTTAAATCCACATGGCTAGTTACACTCATGGGTTGTTAAATTGGGAGAGTAGTTGCCATCTCATCTCTGTGTACGTTACAACATAGATAGTTGTGATACAACATACAGATAAAGTAGGTATTTTTGTAGCGAATGATGCACGTATGACGTGAACAGGGTTGAAGAGGTGAGCGTGTCTGAATGCACAAGCGCTTAATCTCACAATATGCTGGGTTAGTGGTTCAGCAGGCAATCCGTTTAGTGTACAGGGACATTAGCTCACCGGCAGCTTAACTAATCAAACCCAATTCGCCCCCAAAACAACATCTTGCCCCAGCAAGGACGCATTTGGCGAAGTGGGTTACAGAGAGTTTACCGTCTGCTCACACAAAAAGCAGATTGACATCAGCGTTATTTACAGTGCGCTCGAGTTAACACGCATTGTTACCAAATGCTTCCACCTGCATTCTGTCACAGATCAACATCTGCAGCACCACTGCACAGCGGCCCACAACACCAACACCCAGCGGCGGGACGCACATTTGTGTTGCAGAAATAAGCAGCAGGCCTAGTTTAAACTTTAAAAGAGCCCTTCAGTGGTCACTAATCACAAAATGTTGTTTAGACCAAATTAGACCTTTTACCCTTTCTGGGTAATTGGGTAACACTTCTGATCTGCACGTGATCTAAAATGTCCCCACGTGATACGGTGCAGCTTCAAAAATCAATAAAGATGCATTCAGGGCCTCATAAATAAAGCTTGATTTAACTCCCAGTAACCTGCGGTGTCTCTTCTAATGAGGCTGCATCACATGCCCCGATGGTCACTCTCTATGGGGGAGGGGAGGGGAGGGGGGGGGGGGGGCTTTTCTCCTGCTCTGATCAACGGCAGTTCTCGGATTTACACCCCCCCCTCCCCTGTCCCCGGGACGTAAACAGACACCTCTCTGACGGTTATGCCCGAAGGACTAGCAGGGACAAACACTGGAGGGGGGGGGGGGGGGGGGGGGGGGGGGGGGGGCAGGTGGACTCGGCACGTGACCCACCTTGCTGAGGACGCCGCTCAGGTCCACGCAGCCCACCAGGTGTCCGGACTCGTCTCTGGGCTCCGCGTCCTCCTCGGAACCGGAGGAGTTCCAGCTCTGGTTGTCCGACATTTTTAAATGCAATTTAGCTAGCGTTTAAAAAAAAATAATAATGGGATAAAAAAAAATAAAAACAAGAACATATGGCGCTCCGATGGGTTGCGTTTAGACGGACGAGAGACGGAGAGAAGCGGGAACGGTTCACCGAATCACGTCGCGTTCTAACGGCGGCTCCGAGGAAGCCGGAGACCGACAGCCGAATCACCGCTAGCTTAAAAAAAAACCCCAACGTCCGTCGGCTCGCTAACCGGCCCGGCTGTGGAGGTTAACGGGGCGGACGGGAGCCGTCCAGGTGAACGTTAGCTGAGCCCGTAGCGTTAGCTGCGCTGCCCGCAGGGCCCCGCAGGAGACGCGGTATAAAAAAGAAGGAAAAAAAAAACCCAAAACACGGATGAAATGAGCTCCGGTGGCGGGTTCGGTTCGCTCGGCCCGGTAATTCCCTCGCTGGCTCTCAGAGCGTCGCTTCCCTCGGTGCGCGGGCGACGGCTCTCCCGTCCAACGCCATCTTCAACTGACGTCGCGAGGGGCGCTGGCTGCGGTGACGTCGCCGATTCCACGCCTCCACGGGGAGCAGGCCCCGCCCCCCGTTGGTGACGGCCAACTGGAAACAGAAGTGAGCGAGGAACGAGGAAGTGGAGCAGCAGCGCGGGGAGAATGATTTAGGTTACTTTGCAGGCTTTGATTAATAAAACAAAGCACGATGAACCACAACATTGTTCTGAGTCATAATGTATCATGTCATGTGTGGATTTAAGGAGACGGCCTGCGTCATCCGCGTCAGCCTGGTTGATGTAATGTTGATTAACTAAAACAACTGACTTGCTTTTCTTATTTAGTTATACTCTTGACACACATTTTCTCATAACATAGTGATTTTGAATAGTGAACCTATCAAGAGTTTAACCCTAAAAAAAAGAATCGGCTTATCTACTTGACCCATGTCACATTCTGGTTATATTGTGAAATCCTTCTGGGGTTGTTTATCTTAATCTGTAAGCGCATTGATACATATCGATCTAAGTGTTGCTAAACGGAACACGTGGGAGAGTTTGACGTCACTTTATCCAGCTCACTGCAAAGGAATGAGAGTCAAACACAGAAAATACACACATGCAGAAATGTGAAACAAGGGCCGATAAAAGCTGCATATTTACAAACATCTTCTCGTTAGTTTGCAGCTTATTTGTCCCAAGCAAGCGTGGCTGCACTGTAACGGATTCAGAGATGATCTGTAAGTGTTTTTTGTGAATTTAATTATGGTGAAATGAAGCACCAGGTGTTGATGAGGGCCCTCTGGAGCCCCACCACCCCTCGGTCTCAGGAGTCCCTTTACCAACCGACAAACACGGCAGTCAGGGCCGGCACTTAGCGGAGACATTTATGAGGTCAAGCAACTGGGAACATTAGCAAATGTATGTGAGGTCGCAGAGGGCTTCAAGCCGACTTATTACTAAAACCTCCTCATGGATCGCGTTCACGCGCTTGTGGACGGCGTCTCTCATCTCATTTGAACACATTTCCGCGCTGCTCTGATGCTCACAAACAGCGCTGGAGTTGAGTTTACAAATGAACCATGAAATAAACCAACTCCTGTGGTTAGACGGCAGTGGGGCATAACACCACGCTTTAATCGGTTAAAGGGGACATGGCATATTTTGGGCTGTGCGGTTTAGAAGACCCCTGTAACATCACAGGCAGACTCATGAGAAGACGTGGCCCACCACCTTTGCAGAGGTGCTCTGTATTTTTGACACCTGCCGCTCAGAGCTCACTGAGCTCCTGAAGAGACAGGCGCTAAAACGGAGCGTTTCAGTCACTGGGCGAATGCAGGTTTATTCAGTATGAGACAAATAAAGGGACTTTTGGACATTAAAGCATGTAAAGAGTTCTAGTAGAAACCCCAAAATACAATCGTGACCCTGAACATGATGCTGATGTGAGGCCTTTAGTGAAATGTCTCCTTATCTCCGTCTCCTTCCCTCTCTCCTCGCCTTGACAACAGGACTGTGCTCATGTGAACCCTGAGTCATGTGATAATCCTTGTGCGATTCAGCACACACACACACACACACACACACACACATCTTGTGTCCCAACATCCAGGCCCCCGCGTCCCGGTGGGCTGCAGGAGAGCAGAGCTTTGAGTCATGGGTCTTGTGAGTCAGATGCAGTTGTTCCGTGGAATCATGAGACCTGGAAGAGAGCGAACCACAAGACCTCCATTTAGCTGCACAATCCAGCTCTTCTGCTGCATTGAAGGTGACTCACCGACTCAAACGTTTGCACGAGAGCTCCCCGTGTTTCTGCAAGGATCGTCTGTTTGTGTGAGGGAACAAAAAACAGCGTAGCGCAGCAAGAATAAGATGAGGTCATCGTCTTTTAGACATTATGAAACGGCTCCCGGCCGAACCCATCGCTTCCCACCGAAGAAGAACCTGAAACTCCAGACCTCTGCGGCCCGGGGAGGGCGTGGGCCCAACCTGTTGTTCTCCCGACTTGGATTCGAGAGGCTCTGATTCGATCACGGCGGCGCACACGCTGTCCCGTCGGTGGCGGATCTGTGATTCGTTTAGAGGCCCGAGGGCCGAGCGGTAATGTGATTAGATCACATCCGCTTTCAGGCCGCATATTCCACGCGGGTCAGCAGCTCCGAGCGGGCGAGGGAGCTCACCGGGACGGATTAGCGGACCTCACATTGATGTCACGCTCTTCCCCCGTGGACGCGGCGTTGATCCTGGGAAAGCAGTCTAGCTGTTTCCAGTTAGTTTCCCACATTCGTTCGCCGCGCTCTGCTGGTCGTGTCTTTTTGTGGCACCCCGTGCAGTGTCAGGTCCTCCTGAGCACGCCAGCTGCATGTGGACGTGACCGGCGAGCAGCAGGCCCGAGCCTCAGGAAGAGTCTGGTTGCGTAAGAAGGTCCGAGCGGGGGGGTGCCGGAGCTCGCTGTGCCCTCTGCTCGCGGCCCCATAGCAGACGATTATTAGGTTGTATGTGTGTGTGTGTGGCTTCATCTCATCTCAAACAGCTTTGGCACTAATCCCGACACCGTGACATCCTTTACTGGAAGACTCAGGAGCCGTTTCCAGGAAGCGTAGCGCGTGGTTGAACAGGGGTTTAGTTGAATATGTAAACCTCCTGCGCGCCGCTCTCTTTGCCGCCATTCGGGGTATTTTATTTCTTCCTCGAGGGTCAGTTCAAGGCCAGCGAGCGGGTAAACAGAAATACACAGACGGACGGACAATGACGCACAAATGCATTTGTCGACGCATGTATGGATTACTGAATGGGTCGAGGGGCCCAAAGTGGCCGTTCGATTATAACACAATAAGACCAAAACCATTTCACAGTGATACAAAACAACGTGAAGCATCTCTGCCACAGAGAGGTAAGCGAGCACTGAGACACAAAACAACAACATAACACAAAACAACAACAAACAACTAGAGCAGCGGTTCCCAAACTCAAGAATGCCGCGGCCCAATCTGAAATCTGAAAATCTTTTGCGGCTCACCCAAACCTTTAATCTCAACTCTGATCAAAACATAAACTAGGGATGATTAAATGACCTTAAGAATTTAACATATTAAAAATGTATTAACCAACAATGTATTTTTTGTATACAGTTTTCTCCGGAGCTCATGTATATTTACTTTATTACTACAAGAGGGCGCCCCATTTGACATATTTTTATATTAATTTCAAACTTTTCAAAATTCAAAACATTTTATTTATTTATTTTAAATGACCTCTCGCGGCCCACCTGCAGTACCTTCGCGGCCCACTGATGGGCCGCGGCCCACACTTTGGGAATCGCTGAACTAGAGGATAAACAGCGGTGATTCATGTGGAGAGGTGGCCTTGGTGGTCGTCTCATGATACGCCATTTATACGCCATAATTAAGGAGGCAACGCCCTCTGCCGGCCGAGGCCGGAACATTCAGCGGAAACATTTACGCTGCTGAGGCAGAAATAAAATCCTAACATTTAAACGATGGAAAAAGACAGAACTGCAGAGTCCAGTTCGGCCATCGGGGGGCAGCGTGATGCTCTGCTTTGAAAATGACCGAGTGACCCCTTTTCAATCTTCTCCCTCATCTCCTACAAAGGGGGCCTCTTTTTTTTCAATTGGACTCTGAGAAGCTGCAGTATTTGACCAGTTGGGAGTGAAAATGGTGATGATTGGTGGAACGCACGAACACACTCGCACTTGCAGTCCCCTCTTAAAGTGCTTTGTAGCGCTACACTTGCTAAGCTTTTCCCATAAGTGATGCCACAGAATGGGACGACACATCGGGCCGCTGAGCTGTGAGAAGCTCGGTAATGAGGAATTCCTTTCACAGCCACAATGAGCCTGGGGTGCAGTGCAAAGCTGTCTCACACGACTCGATGCGACATCCAGACTCTTATTTAGCCCCCGTCATTCACCACACACCGCCTGCTGATTCTGACTCATTTAGAATTTGAAGAATGCTGAAGTGTTGAATTAAAAAAGCATAAAAAAATCTTGTCAATGGTTAATGAGTATGATCAAAGTGTACAAATATTTTGACAGCCTAAAAATACTGGATTGGATTATAGGGAATGTAGTTACTGTGTAGCATCAGTATTTTGTGGTCCAATATGTTATTAACAGTAAAACAAGAAAATAAATTCAAGCTATAGTTTAACGATCAACTCACACTCGTTTTCATTTATAGCAACACAGGGTACAGACATCAAGTCAACGTTTCACCCTATCATTTAACTGACTTATTTAACAAATACATAATTCACGGATAAACAATATGCGAGGTCCGAACAATAACATGAAAAAAGTTAAATAATATTAGTTAAAAATATTTTGAAAATAAAGTCAGAAAATATTAGGTCATAAAGTTAAAATATGTCCTGAATTGTATTTGGATCTTTTTTCAAAACATTTACAGACATAATATTTTATATATATTTATTATTTTTTAATATATTTTTACTGTGTTCAATGTGACATAACCATTTCAATTTCAATTTTTCGACCTAATACTTTTTTTACATGACCTTTTCAATCTGAAATATTTTTTTTAATATTTTTGAATCAACATATTTTTACTTGATTTCCCATATTTTGACATTTTCTTCAAAAGATTTTTTGATTTTTTTCACAATACCTTTTGACCTAATACTTTAAAAAAAACTGACATTTTTGGCCTAAAATATTTTTTTTCCCAATGCTTTCAGATTTTCCATATTTGGAGCTTTTTTTCAAACCTAACATATTTCGACTTTTTTTTCAACCCTTCATTTCAAAATATTTTTTGAACAAATCTTTTACTCTTTTTTTTCTTATGCTGCCTTTGGAGTCCATGTGTGTCTGTGTTGTCTCTTTTAAAGACAATAGAGCAGAACTCCCGGCGAGCTTCGTCCTGAAATACAACCCATTAGTCAGTGTCACTAGAAAGGCTTTGACCTTCCCGAGGACAGGAAGGCTTTGCACGACTCAGCGTTTTTTACAGTTGTCATCCGCATGAGTGAGAGTGGCTCCACTCAA